TTACGTTTTGTTATATTCTGCGCTGTTCCTCAAAACTGACGTAAATCTAGTGAACATGTACAGTGCCCTTTCTGAAACCTTGATATGCAAGCATAACAATTATTTAGGAATGGATTTGGAATGTCGACCTTTATTGTGAGGACTATGAAGTATAAAAATAGGAGAGTCTTTTTACACTTGGAAGGGTAGAGTACAATGTACAGTTTTGGTCTCCCTATTTAAGGAAAGATATATTTGCATTGGAAGCAGTTCAGAGAAGGTTCACCAGATTGATTTCTGGGATAAATGGGTCTTATGACGGAAGGTTGAGCAGGTTTGTTGTAAATTCATTAGAGTTTCGAAGAATGGGGAACTATCAAAAAAAGTAGGGTTCTGAAGGGGCTTGATTGGGAAGATGCTGAGAGGATGTTTCCTCTTGTGGGGAAGGCAGAACTGGTGAAAAAATTTCAGAGTAAGAGGTCTCCCATTTGACATGGAGGTGAAGAATTTCTCCTGAATGTCATTTGTTTTTAGCATTCTCATCCACAGGGAGCTTCAAGGCTCTGTCATTGTCTAACTTAGTCTTGAATATATTGAAAGTTTTTGATCAATAAGAGAGTCAAGGGTTATGGGGAACAGGCAGGAAACGTGAGTTATGGCCATAATCAGATTAGCTATGATCTTACTGAATGGCAGAGCTGGCTTGAGTGCCTGAAGTCTACTCCTGATCCTATTTGTATTTTATTCCTCCTCCATTGTGAATCACAGTATTGTACGTTGCGCTCCAACTATCTTAAGATTTTTTCCAGACTCTTGGCTTTGTCACAAGACAGAGTACATGAATTCCATTAGCGTTTTACAGTCTCACCCAATGCGAAATGCTCCCTTTAATGATATATCCACTTGTACTCTGCATTGATCCTCCTTCCATTGAGTATAATTATGGCTTCATCATAGCACACCTGACACAAATTCTTCTTTTTTTAAGTTCATTGCTCCTTACTGATGACTCTTTGATCTTCTGAAGTATTAACTATACCTCTTATTCTGACATTACCTGCATCTGTGACACAACCCCCTCTTTATACTATATTCACATATCCACATATTGAAATACACAGTGAACAGAAATGACACCTATACTGGACCCACAGCTGAGATTCTAGTAGTCTCATGTTCTTGAATTTAATTGGGAAAAAATCCACTTTCTTTAATACCTAATATCTTGCACTTTCCTGACAAAATTGATGATAAACTGCTGTCCACTCAGACTCTCTATATCGTCTATCCAATTAGTAATCCAATTTTCTAGCCTTCCTCTTGGCAGGTGATTCATTGTTCCTGTCCACTCAAGTGCACATTTGCCTTGCTTCAATTCTTCTCTCTAACTTTTGGGACCAGTCTTTGAAACTATCTTGTGAAGGGCTTAGTATGCTTTCTAAACTTCTGTCGGGCCCAAATAAGATTTGTTAAATAATGTTTTTGTTTAAATTGTTGGAAGAAGTAATATAAAAAGTTGTCTTCAGGCTGCACCTCAATTTTAACTCTTACTACTGGAGTTCCTGTATGTAAAAACCATGAAATATTTCCCCAAAACATTTCTTGATTGGTTTGTCTGTGTCAAACTGTAAATAATTGGATCACTTATTTTCTTAGATGTTCCCGTTACCAGTTGTGTTCTCTGGTCACGTTACCTGTGTGGCTCTAGCAGAGGAGGAAGAGACCTTCTGATAATAGTTCAGTGTAGAAATGTTGAACATTTGTCTGTATGTGCTGGTCTAATGGGTACCTTGAAACATTTAGGAGTTTTAATTTACCTTTTGAACTGTGGATGCTTTAATTTTAAATTAAAGTAGTAAAACTTCAAACCTACAAGATGCAAACTGGACTTAAAAAGTAATTTTAGCACACCTGGTTGTAAAAGGGACTGATAATGGTTCAATTTGGTTTAATTATTTTGAAGTTGCTTTAAGACTGTAATCTGGTTCAATTCATGGTGATGGCAGCCACATGCTCTTGTTTTAGAAAGGGTTAATGGAACATTATCTGAGTATTTCTAACTTAACAGAACTTGTTATAATTATATTCCTGTTTATAATTTATATTCTCCATAATGTGTCAAAGTTATTCTCGAGGTAACAGTCTTGATGTTTATATTGCAGGATTGTAACCTTTTATTCTGCTCTACTTTGCAAACCTAATTTCCTTTGCCTCTCTGGCAGCAATTAAGTTACTGAGATCCTCAAGTCTAGAATTCTCTCCTTAAGCCTTCGGCTTTCTATCCCTCTCTCCTCCTTAAAACCTGCTACTTTGACTAAAGCTTTGGCCATGTGCCTCTGTACTTCATTGACTGAGTTTTAAGTTGCTTTTAATAAAGGCACCTGCACAGCACCTTTTTTAATTCTTTAAGGTACCATATAAATATAAATTGTCAGTATAACTTCTTTGGTACGTGATCTGTCTGGAGTTACAGATGCAGAGAATGCTTAAAGTCATCATCATTCTTTCAGATACTTGTGTCTTGGCATATTTGGTCTACTATTGTCAGGAATCATGCTAATTGTCCTAATTAGAATTTTGCTGCTGAACTTGGTCATACTTCCCTGAGTAAAACAACCAAAATTTTCTCATTGGCAGAAGGGTCAAGAACTGGAGAATGTAGAATTAAGGTGCTGGGTACAAGAACCAAAGAATAAATGAGGACATTTATTTTAAAGCAGCAATGATCAAGATCTGGCCTGAAGGGCTAGTGAAAGCAGATTAAATTGTCACTTTCAGATTGGAGCTGGATAAACACCTAAAGAGAAATAAATTCTAGGGCTCTGACAAAAGGGGTAAAATTGGGTATGGTACTGGCACTAGATAAATTGCTGTTGCAGGGACTGACATGTTCTCACTGGGCCCAATTAACTTATTTTGTGCTGTAATAATTCTAAGATTCTATAAATTGGCTTTATCTTGTGGCAATTTAATACAGGGTCCTTGACTAAGAATTTGTTTTATAGAGTCATACAGCGCAGAAACAGACCTTTCAGTCCAACCCATCCACACCCACCAGGTATTCTAAACCGAACTAGTCTCATTTGGCTGCATTTGGTCCACACCCCTCTAAACCTTTCCTATTCGTGTACCTGGCCAAACATCTTTTAAATGTTGTAATTGTACCTGCCTCTACCACATCCTTTGGCATCTCATTCCATACACACACCACCCTCTGTGTGAAAATGTTGCCCCTCAGGTCCCTTTAAAATCTTTCCCCTCTCAACTTAAACCTATGCCCTCTAGTTTTGGAATCCCCTGCCCTGGGAAAAATACCTTGGTTCTTCACTTTATGTATGTACCTCCTGATTTTATAAACTTCTATAAGGTCACCCCTAAGCCTCTGACACTCCAGGGAAAAAAAAAAGTCCCAGTCTATCCAGACTCTCCTTAGAACTCAAACTCTCTGGTCCTGGAAACATCCTTGTAAAATGTTTTTTGTACTCTTTCTAGTTTAACAACGTACTTCCTGTAGTAGGGCGAACAGAATTGTGCACAGCTCTCCAAATGTGGCCTTACCAATGTCTTGAACAGCTGCAATGCAACATGACATCCCAGCTCCTATACTCAATGCTCTGACCAATGAAGGCAAGCTTGCTAAATGTTTTATTATAACTGGATTAATATTTCAGTTTGAACTCTGAAATCTTGAACCCTTGAAACCCAAGTTTTTTTTAATTCTGAGGACACTAGTATTAGCAAAAATGCAAAGACATGAAGTTGGCAACATTGTTTGCTGTGAACAAAAATCAGAAGTCAATTATGAATATTACTGCAAAAAAGGAGATGATGTCAAAGGTTTTTGTCTTGCATTCATTGGGACAGAATTGTAAGAATACTAAATTTCAAAAGAGATACTCGAGATTCAGACCACTGATTGGTTGGCATGTGGACTCTAGTTGAGGCATTGCTACAGAAGATGCACCAGAGAGCAGTTGCCCTAAAGTTTTTGTTTACATTTTAAAAGTGGCAGGCCAACACTAATTAGTCAAGACATGCCATGGTGAATGCACAGGAGAGCAGTGTTTCCCCAGCTTCCTTTATTTGTAAAGATGCAATAACTACACAAATTCCCTTTTCCTTCAGAGGACTGGGCTCTGCATATGAATATACAGGTAGTTCTGCTATAACATATGTTTAGTTAAAGAGAATTGGCTGTGACATGATTGATGAATAGTGGATGCTGTTTGGATAATGCAAGCTTTCTACTGTACAGTATAGCGATTTTTCTATAGCAATTTCCCTATAGCGTGATTTTCTATGACGATTTTCTATAGCGTGAAGTCTCACAAGAACACAATTATTGTGTTATAGGAGAACTACCTGTATCTATCTTCTACTTAGTCAAAGGGAGCCACATTGCAAGCCCAATGATTATCTCTAGATTAGCGAAAGAGAAGCTTACATACATCGGGTTTGTGCCACTGGAGATGATTTATTCAATTAAAATTGCATGAAACCCTTTATGAAGTTGAAGAATCTCCAAAGAGTGTAATTTTTTCAAAATACAGTGACTTATTATTTCATTTGACTGTAACCTATTTATATTCCCAACAGATTCATTGGAATTATCAAACAACCTGTCTCCTTGTTTTAATAAGTGTTGTTGCTTTCTGCCAGCTAAAATCTTTCTTCCAGAATTGATGGAAATTGATAATTTGGGAGCCAGGTTACCTGTGACTATTATACCACAGTTTTCAAAATGTAAGAAACTTGAAACAAGACACAATTCTTTTCTGGTTGATGAAAATCTTTTGAAGCTTCATTAGCTCAATTGTTATCAGACCTTTGTTAAATACAGAATATTATATAGCTCGGAATGATTATTACTGCATTGAAGTGAGTCTAATTTTACAACAGAAATATCTGTATGTTGGTCTTGCTAATTTTAGGTTTTGAGATAGACGTTATTATTGATGAGACGAGCAAAACGTGCATATTCAAAAATAAAATGGGCAGTTTTGTTATAAAGCCCACTAAAGATTACTCTTCACTTCTGACAGATCTAAGAAAGATAAAAGCAAAGCAGGGTCCAAGAGTGATACAGCAGAGGCGGAATCTGAAGGATTAACACTGCTTGTACCTGATATTCAGCAAACTGCTGAGATTGTCCAGTTGGCAACCACCAGCCTTCGTCAGGCAGCTCAAGGTATGACTATCAACTGTAATGGTGTACTTTTGAAAAAGTAATGTCTGGCATCAGCTGGAAGAACTTGACTTAAATAACCAAGATTTTAGAGTTTTAAAAGAATAAAATCCATGCAGAGTTTTTTTCCTTAAATATTAGCTCTTTTTCCAGGCGTTCTGATGGCATTGCCCTTTGTCAACCTGTCAATCTGAACAGGGAAATGTGCAAAATGTACTTTCACATTGATTTGATAGTTGTAATATAAAACTGCTCATATTGTACACTATCTTCAGATGAAACCTGTGTTTTTTCTCTCTCTCTCGCCCCACCTCCACAACCCAAAAAAAGATAGAGAATTTTTAATCCAAATTCTGTTAAGTTTCTGCTCGGAGTTGAACTCTGCAGGCATTCACATACAAAGAGATTATCGTACAACTGCAGTCCATTTACTTTTAACAGATTGCAATATTTTATAAGTCTCATTCTCTTCAATTCACTGTTCAGAGTAAATTTTTAAAGTAACTGACATTAGCCTTCTTAACTACTCATTTGTGTTTCCCTCGTTTCGTTGTAGGTTTTGACTTGCTAGCAAGCGTGCATTGTGGATCACTATGATCTAGCTAATGTGCAAGACTTAATTGTGTTTTCACAACAGAAGTATTTTATAGTCAGTGCAAAATACATTGCAGCTCAGCCAGATCCTTTCTTTGTGTCTGCATGCAATTACAGAAAAGGTACTGATTGGAAGTGATAAGTAGCAGGATTTCCAGTGAGTATTTCATGTTCCTAGCCCAAAAACACTGAACTGAAACTACCAATCTACTGTGCCAACTGATACCACTTAACTCCAAAATGAGATCGAACTAAAGAAAAAGAAATTGCATTTGTATAGTAACTAGGACAGTCTCTGGCTCTGTTTCAAAACTGTAAAGCCTATTTAGAAACATGGAATTTACAGCACCAACAGGTCATTCAGCTCAACTGACCTATGCCAGTGTTTATGCTTCACATCAGCCACCTTGTGCCCTCTGTTGTTCCAACCCTATTGTTATCTCTTTCTGCTCCCTTTATTGAAACCGTGAGCAAGGCCTCTTCAGAGATCTCAGCCCCATGTTGGATTTGCTGCCATAATCATTCCCTGGTCCTCTGTTTCAGAAAAGAAAATTGCTGAATCAACAAAGAAGGCAATGGCACGACCGAGGCCTTTAGCAGTCACACGTTCTCTGGAGGAAAAGTATGTCGCTGCAATGAAAAAGCTGCAATTCGGTAAGTTTCATTTAATGTACCATGTGTAAAAGAATCTGATTCAGAACACATGGGATTTCCTGTCTATAATGCTTTACATAATTAAATATCTATCTGTGTCATTCCTCAATAGCTTAGTGATCAATACAGTACATGACATTGATGTTACAGTTGTTGGCAGCATACTTTAGCTGGGAGGTCAAAGCCAGGGTTCCCTCTGTTAATGGCTATCGAACAGACTTGGAGTTGTGCACATAAATGTTGGGCCAAGTTTGAACTTAGCTGTTTCAGTTTTCCCCCATGAGTCTTTGAGCAAGCACCATAATGGCTATTGAAAACTGGAATTTTAACCTGAAAGATAGTTGTTGCTTTCTGGAAGATGATTAAACAGTGACAACAAAGGCCCAAAAAGTTTAATTATTTTTACTGCAAATGGATGTCTCCAAATCACTACACTTGGGGTTTGCATTTTAGATCTATTTTTGAATTTATAATTGGTTAAAATGTTAATGTTTGGAAACGTGGGCATGTCAGTGTCGCTTTCCTAGAAGTTGCCCTTTGACCATATACGTAACTGACAAATGTTCCCTGTAAGTACAGCAGTCTGGAACATATCTCAGTGCAACAAACAGGCTACATGCAACAAAGTAAAATTACAGGAAATTTGGATTTTTGCTTTAAATGGTAAGCTTTACAGTTTATTTAGGATTGAACTGTATTTGAGTGTAATATTTGCATTCATAGAGTACACAAGCATTTCAATTTTCAAATGAATAAACACTTGAGTATATACACACATATACTTGCAGCGGTGCATTTGTATAACAATTTTTAAAAATCAAAATAGGTAGATAGCTGTATTTGGGAATTAATTCTCCATTAGAAAATGCCAGATCATGAAATAAGTATGAAAACATCTGAATAATGAGAAAATAAAATGAAAACATTGAGAGTAGTTATAGAGAAGTGATTAACAGATTGCTCTAAAACAGTTGACGCAGACTTCCCCCACCACCAGGGAATTGAAATAATTGTTGCTATATCCCTATTGAACCCTGAGGAACATAGCACAAATAGTAAAAGACAGGCAATATTTAGAACATCTAGGTTGAGTATCTAGAACTCGCCTCCTTTTATGATTGTGCATTAAATGTTCTGTTCACTATTGTCTGCATAACCATATTCTATCTGTGGTCTATGTATGTTTTTTTGCAGCAGATCTGCTTGGTTCTTTATATGTTTCTGAGATCACCAGAACAGCTTCAAAATTCTGCAGCCTAATCTTTGCCAGTGCAGATCTGATACCATAAGCAAATTTGTGACAACATACTCATTTCTGAAAACTGATTAGTCTAACAAAAATGATGCACTGTATTGGTTAAAAGCTAGCATTTTGGATTTTTGTTCTCCTTGCCCCACTACCTCCAGATAAAGCTTGTTCCTCTGTTTCTAATGTTGTTTAGAGGATTCTGCTTAAAAAAAGCTTTTATTTATTTAATGCCTTGCTCAACCTCAGAATATCCTTGATGCTTTACAACCATTGAAGTACTTTTGAAGCATAGTAATTGCTATATTGTAGGAAACAGGTAGTCAGGGCAACTTGATGCTCATACCCTTGCTCTTTTAGAGTGCCAAAAATGAATTGGACTTTTTTTGTCTGGTCCTTAAATTCCTAGGTGACTTATTTAAGCTGCATTTCTAATTAGTTATTAAATGTGTTATGAAGATGCATATTATTATTGCTACATGAACATTTGAGTTCTGATATAGGGTAAAAAATGAATTTTAGACTTTCTGTGAAGATCAGACCTATGTTTTTCTAAAGGTCAGTAAGTAATTGTTAACATTGAGTTTGAAACAGCATCCAAAAGAAGTCATATTTCAGCTGAGTGACAAAGCAAGATAGTTGCTGAAGCATTGGCTGACTTCAAGTTTACAACTACCAGAGAGAAAAGGAGCCAGAAGCAGTTTCATGCAGGGGGAAAGAGGCCCATTACAGCAGAGGTGCTGTTATTAGCAGTTTCTAATAAGACAACACTGGAGAGAAGTCCCAGATCGCTGACAAGTCAGCGAGGAAAAGGTCTTCTGCTTCCAGGACTCTGTGTTGTCAGAGGAAAACATCCTACAAGGTTGTTGAAGACAGGAGTTTTGGGAACCCATGTTAAGTATTAGTGAGCTCTGTTCATAGTTTGTTTCAAGGGTCTCGGAGGCAGACATTAACTGAAGAAAATAATATCTAGTGAATATGCAGCAGTTTGCTGAAAGGAAATTGATAACAGCCATGCCAGCTCAGAAACGAGCCTTATCCTTGAGATAGGGATGACTGATCACTAACATTTTGAGTGATTGTAAAAGTGTTATTAGGGTAAAAGAGATGAATCTATTGGTCTAATGTTTGAAATGAGATTGTTCCAATTGTAATTACCTAGTTTTAATTTTTTTAAAATTCATTCATGAGATGTGGGCATTTGTTGGCTAGAGCAGCATTTATTGCACATCCCTGATTGTCCAGAGAGTAGTTAAAAGTCAGCCACATTGTAGGCAGACCAGATAAGGATAACATATTCCCTTCCTGAAAAGGCATTAGCGAATCAGGTGAGTTTTTACAATTATCAACAGTGGTTACATCGTCACCATTAGTCTCGCTTTCAATTCCCAATTTCATTGAATTCACATGTCACCAACTACAATGATGGGGTTCAAAACCCTTATGCTAGAACATAAGCCTAATTTTCTGGATTGCTAGTCCACTAACATTATCACTGCCTCCACCAAACGTATAATGTAATATAGCCTGTGTGTTTGACAACCAGAAAATCTATTCAACCTAAGTTCACTTTCCAGCTGTTGATCCATAACCCTGTAGGCTGTGGCACTTCAAGTTTTCCTGACCACCTTATTGGTTAATGATATTTTGCATATAAAGCGTCATCTCAAATTTTATACCTGTACTTAAAAATGGTTTTCTTTTTAGATACTGCTGAGATGGTCACAGAAGATGATGATGGAAAGTTGATCTTCAAAGTAAATTACCATTACATGTCTCAGGTGAAGAATGCCAGTGATGCTAACAGTGCTGCCAGAGCTAGACGCCTTGCACAGGAAGCTGTCACACTCTCAACATCACTGCCTCTTTCTTCTTCATCCAGTGTATTTGTGCGTTGCGATGAGGAGAGATTGGATATCATGAAAGTAAGTACAAAACAATGAAGCTGAAGTAGTTTTATTTTAATGCAACCTATTTTTCTAATCAACCTGTTAAGAGATGTTATTACATGCCTCTGGAGCAGGTGGAACTTGAACCCAGCCCTCGTGGTCCAGGTGCAGGGACACTACCACTCCCCCACAAGAGGGGTTCCGAAATAGTCTGTGCACATTCAAATATCCTTGATGTAAATCCCAAGGTTTCCTGCAAATTTGTTCAAAATGTTATTAGTTCATTACGAACCATCAAATGTCTCCTATTCAAAAATGTTGAATTATGGTTGTGCTATTGTAAGAGGCTTTGAACAAAGCTTTTGGGACAGAAGGAGAAAATATATCGCGTCAGGAAACCTGCACAATACTGACATCGTTGTCACCAGCTGCAGATGTGCAGTTACTTGCTAGTCACCTGGCCACTCTATTGGCCAGAGAGTTTGCAACATGTGACTTAAAACTAAAATGTGTTACCTTTTGTTCACATGGTAAGCCACTTAAATGTGTTTGAAAAGTTTGTTTTACTTTCTATCCATTCATGAATTGATGATAAGAATAAAAGCTAAGATGTTTGCATTAATTAAAAGGTGAACTTCTCGTTGTAAATGGACCATGATTTGTAGCCATCTAGTATTAGTACAGTTGAATCAGCACCATTTAAATTAAAATAGAGGTGGGGATACCACCACTATGCCACAGGGGTGTCATCTTGTTTATTCCTTTATAAAAATAAGTTAGACAGCCCTTAATGGGGCACTGTAACAAAAATCAAACTGCTAACGAAACTCACCAAAATTAAACCAAATTATTGTTATCGGGGTGAAGATGCACCCCAGCCCCTGCCATCCTCCTTTCTAGATACAGGTATTTTTAACTAACCTGTTCACACATCTAATGACATGTCTGAAGCAGGGAGGACTTGCATCTGAGCCTCCTGGCTCAGAGGTAGGGACATTACCACTGCACCATAAGCGCCTCTGATATTTTATAGTGTTAAATGTTAACCGTCAATGGGAAGACAATGGCCTAGTAGTATTATCACTGTACTGTTAATCCAGAGACCCAGGTAATGGGTTCGAATCCTGCTCTGACCGATGGTAGAATTTGAATTCAATAAAAAACTGGAATTAAGAGTCTGACGATGACCACAAAACAGTAGTCAATTGACGGAAAAAGAAAGCCCATCTGGTTCATTAATGTCCTTTTAGGGAAAAAAAAACTGCCATCCTTACCTGGTCTGAACTACATGTGACTCCATACCCACAGCAATGTGGTTGACTCTTAAGGGTCCTCTGGGAAGAGCAATAAATTGCCTGCATCTCATGAATGAATAAAAAAAATCCACCACTGGAGCAGGTAGGACTTGAACCCAGGCCATTTGGCTCAGAGGTGGGGTCAGTACCACTATATTCTAATCAACCTGTTCAGAGATGTTATTACACATCTCTAAAACAGGTGGGTCTTGAACCCAGGCCTACTGGCTCACAGATAGGGACACCTACCACTACACCACAAGCATCTTCATCCATCTTTTTATACTGCATCTAAGGGCCTATTTGGTTAATTCTGGTAAAGGATGAATCACCAGTGAATTTTAATGAGAAGAAATACTTGGTTTCATAAGTTGTAGTTTATTGCATGATAACAATAAGGCACATGTTACATTGGCTAAACGCTCATAATAAATAAAATGATCAGGAGGCAATGATGGTACATTTGGCCTCATCAGGACCAAAAGGAGCTGGACTCCTCTTTCTCCACCTGAGGCTATATGACCTCATTGGATTGTGTGGAGCTTAATCCAGTCTCCAACATGAACCCTTTCAGCAATATTACATTATATAACACTGAATGTGACAGAAGATCTGATTTTAGAAATTCCTGCATTATTGATTTTCGATGACAATTGGCCAGTTTTAAATCTGTTTCTGGAGATGTTATGTGTCAGATTTATGCAATAATTTCTTACTGTATGTCAGCTTTCTCTGAAAATTTAAATGGTAAAGTGAATATACTGGAATTATAGTTTGTTTTTAACCACTCATTCCTCCTTCCATCAGGTTCTAATCACAGGACCATCCGATACACCTTATGCAAATGGCTGTTTTGAATTTGATGTATATTTTCCTCAAGATTATCCAAATTCTCCTCCACTTGTAAACCTGGAAACCACAGGAGGACACAGCGTACGATTTAACCCAAACCTTTACAATGATGGAAAGGTAATGAATTAGATTGAAGGTTGTTTGTGTTCAAATAAAGCTGGATTTGTTCAGAAATCCTGAAAAATTATCTTCTGCTTTATACAGCAAAGATAAAAGTATAACATGTACATAGCTGATTGGCCCAGTGTAAGGTAATTTTGTGAAATCTACTTAAAGGTTGGGTTTTTGCGTAGATAAAACAAATAAGTTTCCATGTAGTTTGTAATGAGTAGAAGAGGCCATCGCTGCAGTCAACTTTTAGTCTTGGGTTTGTAGAAATTTGTGAAAGAAATGCACAGAATTATCCATTTTATAACCTATATTCTGAATTTAGAAATAGTTTATATTTTGTGGTATTTGGTTTTTTGCATTTCTGGTTCAATTTTTACTGCCAGCACTTGTTTATTAGTTTGAGTTAATTGTAATGGTAAAACAAGGGAAGAGTGGTCCAAACCACTGAAAGGCAAATTTTGGTTTGATGTCAGGATGTTCTGTTCACATACAGTGTGGAATTTAATCCAGACAAGGAAGGTCTTACCCACAGCTGGAGAGCCAGCCTCGTCACTTCCTTTAGCCATCCCCAAAGTGCTGATCAGACACATAACCGGGAAGCAGCAGGCTTTGCCCAGGATCAAGGGCCTGGGGGTGGAATCCAGCCTCCACCCCACACTTGTGACCTGTCAGCCAATCAGTCAGCATCTGCCCATTGCAGACAGAACCATCAGGAGTGGTGGCAGCTGCCAGCAATATGTCCACCAGAGACTCATAGGAAACTGCGTGCTGGATAGGGGTTATGGAGGAGCTGCGGACTTCAGGAGGTAGCTTTCGGCAGCAGCAGCACCCTCCATGATGCAGAGTTCCTCAATCTGGTGCTGAGTGCCTGACAATTTGCTCCTGTGCACCAAACATGCTGTAAAGGAGAGCATTAAATTCCACACTCAACACCCATTTAGATCTGGGTTACCTTGCTGACTCTCCACAGCTTTTTACTTTAAACTGGTTCTGCATTCTTTATCCATTCAGTTGGTTTATTCTTAATCATTTTAAATTCTCAGTTGTAACAACTCTTAAACTTGTGCCTTGTAGGAATTAACTCAAGATTACTTCCTCTCACAGCTAAGATCAGTAAGGTGGTCTTCCTTACGTCATGTGTCTCAAGTTTATTCTGTGCTGCTGATGCAAGATGACATTGAAACTGTAGGATTTAACAAATATTAAAAATAATTTGCACCTCAATGTTGGATAATTCAGTGGCCAATTATTCATAAAATCTGTTGGGATGAAGTCTTGCCAAGTCCCACAAAATCCTTGAGCAATGTGGCACAGTAATTGTGTGTGTCTCTGACTCTTGGCATGATTTTTTTCTCCAGGTCTGTTTAAGCATTCTCAACACCTGGCATGGAAGACCCGAGGAGAAGTGGAATCCTCAAACTTCTAGTTTTTTGCAAGTAAGCAGAAAGTGTTTGCTATTCATTTAGGGTGATGTGGTAAACAAAATTCCCTTAAATCTAATAGTGTTGTTCATCCAATCAGCATCAATTATTAATATTTCTAGCAATGCAAATTTTTTTTCCCAGTGTTGACAGGTGTTATCTATCCAGTGCTAGTTGAAAGATACTAAGCGTTTGTCCCCGCAGAGGTGCACAGAACTAAAATTTACGAGAGACGTTGTGTGTTTTTGGCACAAGAGACATCACTTTTAAAATCTAAGAATTTGTGTATTTTGAATATAGAATAAAATGCAAAAAAAAAGACCCTAGTATTTACTTGATTTTCCGTCTTGCAATTGTACAGGGTATTGTTTCTATAATGCGTTAGATAGTGAAATATCTTGTGCCTCAAATCTGGATCTGAGTCCATTCATTCGTATCATAGTAAGCAATGCTGTTGTCAGATGTGGTCTGCAACGCAGAACAAAAGCTTCGAGTGTCTAAATGTGCCACCCCTATTTTGACACCCTGCGAGAGACACTTAACAGATTTTACACTATGTACATGATTTTGATCTTGTAAAAGTTGTCAAGAACAATGATGCAGTCTAAATAAAAAGCAAAAGAACTGCGGATGCTGTAAATCAGGAACAAAAACAAAGTTGCTGGAAAAGCTCAGCAGGTCTGGCAGCATCTGTGAAGGAGAAAACCGAGTCTGCCTCATTTTGATGATATGGAGGAGTTGCCACTTTCTAATCCTGGAAAGTTGATGGTGGCTTATTGTTAGAGGAAAGTGGTTAAATATCAATGAAAAGTGACTGAAAATAATTCTTAAAACTGAGTAATAAACAATGGCAAAATCTGAAAACCCTTTTAACTTGTTAGATCCACATACTCACCCTCCACTCATGATTTACGTTAAATCTCGCTTATGATTTACTGTCCGCCTTTGTCCTATATTCATATAATTTTACTTGAATATTAACAACTCACCCACTCTGAGGGTAAAATCTCAAATTAAAAGTTTCTAGAGATATTGAAACCTATCTTTCGTGGAGTACTTGTACTTCATGAAGTACGTAGCAAGATGTTTTACCAAAGAAGTGCACACTCTTGACTCAGTTTCTGATCAGATTTAACCTCAGGAATACTGATTTAGGAACATTGGGTGTGATTTACACTGTGAAAGTCAGAAGTTTGCGTGCATCCTTTGCTCAAGCATAGTTTGTTTGTTCCACAAATTTGTAACCTGTGGAAATTTTTAATGAATACTTGGTGCAGGGGGCCTCAATTTTTTTGTTTTATTCCTGAGATCTGGACAGTACTAATGAGCTTTCATTTTACTAGCAGTTTAATACTTGTTCTTGACAACTCTTTCAAGGTCAATTAGCTAAAATTTAAGTCATGAAATTGAAGGCAAATAATTGACTTAGTTAGGCGATAGAAGACTGGGTAGGCATAGTGACTGTTTATCTGAATGAAGCATCCAGTGCTCTGTGTGTGTTGGGATCTCAAATATTTGGTTTACTGATGACTTGGATTACACAATAGAGAGATATAACTGTGCAAGATGCTATGGTTGCTGAAAATCTGAAGTAAAGGCAGGAAATGACATAAATATTGACGAAATCTGACTGCATCTGTGAATGGAGAAACAGATTGTTGATTTGTTGAAACAAATGTTTAAGCTTGGTGGTCCTTTGACAGAAAGGTTGGCAATATAGAAAGTACATTTGATGGGAACATAAAATTACAGATACGGATTGGACAAATGGGGCAACCTGTGGGAGATGGAGTTTAACACACAAGTTGATAATGCAGCAAGTAGTTAAGTAGGTGATTACTGCCGGGGTGGATACGAATCCTGACAAGCTGTGCTTGTAAATTGGTCATTTAATGAGTAACACAGATGATTTGGTAGTGGTTTAAAAAAAATCCAGGTAGATACGAAGGGGGAACGGGCATCTGGAAAGAGGAGGTAAGACTGAATAGTCAATAATGTGTCTTGGTTCTGTCTCACTGACTTGACTGGCTTGGATCCAGATTTAGATAAATGTGAGATCATCCATTATTGCCAAAAACTAATAGTTCTGAGTGTCATTTAAAGAGAAAAGCTAGAAGTTGTGGAAATCCATAAAGAACTAGCTACTTGTGTACATAGATCATAAAATGTAATTATCAATTACAAAAATATTCAAAGACGTCGGGGGTGTTAATTGCTAGAGATGGGATTCCTGTCCCCCTCACTGGAGTAAGTGCTGCCTCAGTGCACTGGCTTGCAACTCTGTGGACCCAGCAACAATGGCCAGGACTTGGATTATCAGCAGGTACATTGAAACTCTTGGAGTCCCAGGAGCATGTAGGTGAATAGGTCTCCTAACAGGCTGGGGACATTTGGAGAGATAAAGGGGCTCAATCAATAAAGCAGAGATGTTAACAAATGGCGCACCTTGCAGAAGGGGAGCCCAATGTGGAAAGGAGGCTGCTCCATCCATTCCCCTGATGCTTACTCAGGGGGTCTCGCTGGCCATCCCTACTTAGCTCCATCCCTGAAGTTGTCTTACTAGCCTCAAAATTTAATCCAGGTGGATAGTGATTGCTAATGTCCACCTAAAAGGCTTCAATTGGAGCAAGTATGTACAGGGTGGGGTAGGCCTCCCACTACCCTGTAAAATTGCAGATGGTTTGGGGTGGATGAGAGGGCAGTGGAAGGTCATCCAAGGAATTTTACGGCCTCCACCATGCCTGAAAAGTGCCAGCAGGAGACTCTGTAAAATTCTGGCTCTTTATTGCAATCCAGCAGCTTTCATGATTATTTTTTTGGTACTGGCTTGTAAATTGTGTGTTGGAAATTCAATTTCACAAATTTGCAGTCTTGGCTTTGAAATGTCAAACCCTGAGTTGCTGGTCTCCAATTATAACCACTACAAAATGTTTACTCCTTACATTCAGGTAAATACTTGATCAGTGGAATTTTCACCTTCATATCTCAAAGTATTTGTAAGAGCTGCTTTGTAGTAATCAGATATTAATTTGAACAAATCTGAATTATAACTATTTGGTCAATGATTATTGACTGGATGTCTCATTCCACAATATTTACAAGCCAAGCAATAGTTCATCTCCTGTACACTTTTCATCTGACTTTTTATCCAACCAATCATAACTCTCAATTAAAAGAAATGTATTTAGCAGTTGAATTGTTGCTTGCAAAGTGCAATATTTTGGGAATGACTTGAACTTGGATCCCTACAAAAAATGTAATTCAGTGTGAAGTGGAGCTTTTAGCGCACTTCATTTTCCATAATATTAGTGTCCACTTACGGTTTAATCACAGGGCTTCAAACATGTGACAGTGGTAGCCAGAGAGATTTGTGATTACACTGTAAAATAAATTGGCAGTTGTGCTGTTGTTGTACTACAAAAGCACCCTCCTTACCTTTTTAAACAGTTTTGTTTAACAATTGCAGTGTAGTAATTTTATTGCTGCGTTAAATGAATCAAAATTGAATAAAAATAGTCCAATTAGCCACTTTTTTCCTCCAATAAGCAATTTTCATAAACTGAAGAAATTGCTAAAATTTAGGATTTTTTTCTTTCTCTACACACAGCCAAGTTTGTTCTTGCCTAAACTCAATTGTCATCTCTGTAATCAAAATATGAAACCGGTTTTTTTTTCCCCAGGTGCTAGTGTCAATCCAGTCTTTGATACTGGTAGCAGAGCCTTATTTTAATGAACCTGGCTATGAGAGGTCAAGAGGAACACCCAGTGGCACTCAGAGTTCCAGAGAGTACGATGGAAATATAAGACAAGCAACTGTAAAATGGGCCATGCTTGAACAAATAAGAAATCCCTCGCCATGCTTTAAAGAGGTATGTTTCATTTAAACTTTGTGGACTGTTGATGTTTGAAGTTTCCGATGTTAAGAATCCAGTTAAAAAAGAAAATTTCTAAAATGGGAGCTTCCCAGTGTAATGCACTGTTGATCTGAAGATCATTTTCATCTCGAGCAGATGGATACCTTTATCATGGTACCATCATTCTGTAATTGGAAAGGATAAAGGAATAGAGGACATGTTACAAGTCTATTTAAAGTTCATTCTGCATAGTGGATCATAATTTTACCACAAGCCATCGTCGCCTAATGGATCTGTTTAGATCCCAATTTTTATTTGATGTAGGATTTCTGCAAGATACTGGAAATCAACTTGGAATCTTGGAATACATCAGAAAGGATATTTGTTTCTCACTTCTGTTTTTATTTTGTCAGTTACCTTAAGTCTGCCCATTCTGGTGAAATAAATCCTTTCTTTTGTAAGCATTAGTTGTGTTGAAAGCCAGCATTCTGTGAAAAATTGTAACATTCAGGGGTATAGCGATTTCTAAGAGTAGTTAGATGTCAGCACTCAGTTCTGCCTGGGTGATTTAGCTCCAGCCATTGCACAGGCAGACAAAGTTAGCTGTACTGACATTATTGATGTGTGTCTTGATTTGGAAGCCAAAGTCAACTCTCATCATATGATCATGCGCAATGCCGTTGATGCCCAGGCAATCCTCGCTTTACTCAACAGCTCTGCTCAGAATCCTGCTCTCTCATTCACCATTTTGCTCGGTTCCCTGCTCTTTTTAAAAGCAATAAAAGAACCTAGGTTCCCCAAGCAGTCAAGTGGATTTGAAACAAAATGTTTAAGCCTTAAAAGTATTCCTTTTGTTTGCAGAGGATGTGTCTCTGTCTGAATGCCTGTTACTTTTACCAAATGTAAATAAGCCATTTTACAAGTTTAATTGTATTGAACTGGATGTTAGAGTAACCCTATGTAAACCCAGGATTGTTCAGAAAGTGCTGCCCACACGCCACACATTTTGTTCTGGATTTTGCAAGCATTTGGTGATTGAGTGTATAAGCAGTCTTTTCTGAATAAGTGAAGTAATGTGCTGTTTGATTCAATTGGCCAATTGCTGGAACATACAGCTTTACATACCTGACATTACACAGGCATTGATGTTCATACATGACATGGAATTGTTTGGACTGATAGCAGCATTTTGTTAGTTAAAAATCTACTACCGGGCACTCCACTGTGGTAAATCTACCATTACTGGTCAGTACTCACATATGGATTCATACAGCTCCGCCACTTGCTTTGTGTTTGGCCTTGTCAACGATATCATAAATAGGGCCCTAGCATTTTGCTCATTGTGCAAGATTGATGCAGGAATACAATGTATCTATCCTGATCAGATCGTTGTTTGCTGTGTGTGGCTCAAACTCCCATATGGATGAAAAGCTAATGCCTTTACACGTGAAAAATGCTGGTCCACTGCAGATTACCCTGGAAAGGCAAGGTAGCTCAAATATTTGAACAATGGGTTAGGCAATCCTGTATTACGCTGCAACTATGCAATGCATGTAGCAGTGGTATTTTATACTAATGCTGCTGTCAGATGTTCTGACAAAAGAACAATCTGCTACCCCACATTTGAGCAATTTTGTGTATGAATTTCAGTACCAAAGTGATGTCTGATAATATGCCATACATCCCTGTGCTTAGTCAATAAATTCAAACTGTCTCTCTGATTGTTCATAACATGCAGAGTACAGACTGTTTCCAGCTCACATATGCAAAACCCAAAACAAAATACCTGCTGTTAGATGTTATTCCATGATTGGGCAGCACTTGCTGGAGAATTTTGAGTGTATTAATTCCCATACTAACAACCAGTTTAAGAATATCAATCAGGCTTGTAACGTGGCTCAGTTACACTTGCTCCAAGCAAACAACCTTCATGCACAGGGATCCCATTTTTGGCAAACAAAAGAAAAATGTTCAAGCCTTGTACCATTGTTGAACTACCCAGGAGCTCATGGAGTCTATGGTTCCCCGTTGCCTGTTACATGGCTATACGTCAGCCAATCAGAGTTGACCTGCTTAGCAATCTGCACCTTTTTGTCCTTTAATATAAATTGTCATAATATTAGAAATTTGAAATTATTGCATTTGTTTCAATGAATGCAAGATGAAAAGCTTCAGCATCATTTGTTTTCTTCAGCAATATTATAGGCAATTGTACATTCCAGAAGGATCTCCTGCAATTTTCATGTGTTGTCCAGGATACACAGTTTAGACATTAATCTTGTTAAATTGGATTTGCTTACATTTCTATTTGTAAGGACATGTACAGTGATGAAGTTAACACAAGTTTCATAATAGGAATGTGCTGACTGTGTTGGAGCATTGACATTGAACACAAAATGTCATAAAGTCTGGAATAGATCTTAAATTGACAAATGTCAATACTTATCAGTCATCCTGCTAAATATAGTTTTTCATACAAAAATTACTGGCTTCAACCAAATTAATAATTCATGCATATAATACAATTAATTTGCTATGCCTGTAAATTGATGCATATTATAATTTATATTGTGTTGAAGACTAGATTTTTGTACAGAAAAACTAAGATAATCTGAGAATTTGCTCAGTGTATTCTAAATCTGAGCCTGGTATTGATAAAGTTGTTATGTCGACTATGTTTGATATTTTTTCAAAGAGCCTTTAATATTTTTTGGAAGGTTGGCTGAACAGTTTATAGATCGGAACATCTTGCAGATAACAATAAATTATTTTTGTACTGATGAGTTCAAGTTTAAATTTAAGCTGAGGTGAAGATTGTTTATTATTATCACATATGTAGCTTGGGATGGTTCGTAGGTTACTTTGATTCTTGCATCTTAAAACAGCAAAAGGATAAGCACCAGAGAATTGTACCATTGAGATATTGTCACGCATGGTATTGTACCAAAATGATAAATCTGTGGGTGTATGCTCAACAATAAGCTAAATTACATTTGACGAAAAGCTTTGTAGAGATGATGTTGGGAAAGGCCATATATGTATTAGGTTTTCTTAATTGTCTTTGTAGTTAGTGACTTTCTTGCTAATGGAAGTGTATCTCCTGTTTTTGAAGTGGTTCATTCTCTTGCCTGTTAACTTGCTAAGCTTACTGAATGTAGATTGTCGTCTGCTCCAAGGATAGAATATTGTACAGTAGTAAACCCACAAAATGATGCTCAAGGTCTGATGTGTTTGCAGAAATAAATTACACTTGGCTTCGGTCAAAAATAATTTTAATTAATCATCGACAATGTTTTTGCACCCCTCTTTCCCACTTGTCCCACTCCTATTCACCCCACATACAGTAAGTTATCCCATCATGAAGTAGTATCTACATGCCTTGGCTTCATTCAAGGATTATCATTGATTTACAACATGCTGAAACTTAGCAGCTGCCCTAACCTAAAGCACTGAGCATTGCTTCTCACCATTGGGTCATAGTTGAGATTACCTTAGGAAGACCGAGTCTTGTCTTGAGCTTTACGTTACCAAATGTATAACGTGAATCGGCCATTTTTAGGTTACAGCCTAAGACTTTGTAATATGTTCCCACTTCTAGGGAAAGAGCTACTTTCAGTGGCTTTGTACAAGATTGTCCACACTTGTCTGAAAATTTAGAATTGATATAATTTATAGTTTGAAATTCCTCTAGGCTAGGAATTTGTCAATCAGGAAAAAGAAGAATGAAAAACTTATAGAAAGTTTTTCCTTTTAAAACTTTTATTTCTCTTCCTTCAAATTGGTATTTTAGAAAACAGTTGATTCTAATCTGTTAAAACTGACCTTTGGACAGCTATGTTTGGAAACAACGTTCTTCAAGCCTTTGATTTATTTCAAGATTGAAACTTTTTTTTGTAGAGGCACTGCAATAATGTCAAACAGAGTAACGTCACAGACTTGTACATTATAATCTTACTTCAAGGATCTTTCCTTTTCATTAACTGCAACTTATTCAACGTGCAAGATATGCTTTATTTGTTTATGGGATCTGGGTGTATCTACACCCCAAGGGCTGCAGTAGTTCAAGAAGACAGCTCACCATTAACTCTGGGGGTTAGGAAATAAATGCTGGCATACTCTGTCCACAACCCGTGAATGATAATATAACATCTTGCCTAAAACAAATCATATGTTCCAGAACTCACTGGATTCCAGGAGGATTCTGGTGGCTTGGAAAACTGCTACTATTATGTTCAGAAAGGGAGAGACAGAAAGCATGAAAATATAGGCCAGTTAGCATAATATTTCAGAAAATTTTAGAGACCCTGATCAAAAATGAAATAGCAGGACATTTTTAGAACAACTTAACACAGAGTCAGCATGATTTTTGCTAAATCTGATAAAGTGCCACGCACAACAATATAGGAGGATCTCATGAGCTGAAATAAAAGAAGGGTTGAGACCTGGGCAGATCAGCTATTGCCTTATTGAATGGCAGGACAAGCCTGAGGGGCTGAATGGCTTTGTACATGCCATGAGGTTATGCAGCTCTATAAAACTCTGGTTTGACCACACTCAGAATATTGTGTCCAATTCTGGTCACCTCATTATAGGAAAGATGTGGAAGCTTTAGAGAGGGTGCAGAGGAGATTTACCAGGATGCTGCCTGGACTGGAGGGCAGGTCTTATGAGGAAAGGTTGAGGGAGCTAGGGCTTTTTTCTTTGGAGCGAAGATGGATGAGAGGTGACTTGATAGAGGTGTAGAAGATGATGAGAGGCATAGATAGGGTGGATAGTCAGAGACTTTTTTGCCCACGGCAGAAATGACTATTACAAGGGGGCATAATTTTAAGGTGATTGGAGGATGGTATAAGGTAGATGCTCTTTGCACAGAGTGGCGGACGAGTGGAATGCACAGCCGGCAATGGTAGTGGAGTCCGATACTTTAGAGACTTTTAAGCAACTCTTGGATGGGCACATGGAGGATAGTAAAATGTTGGGTATGCAGGGTAGTTTGATCTTAGAGTAGGATAATAAGTCGGCACAACATCATGGGTCGAAGGGCCTGTACTGTGCAGTAGTGTTCTATGTTCTAATTTATATTATTAGTGAAATACAGGAAATTCAATTTATTAATGAGGCAGTGGTTCTGAGTTAGACCAGCAAAAGTTGAAGATTTGACTAACAGTAACATGTAAAGTGACACTAGGCAGGTACCAATATGCTGCAGTGCAACTAAAGATGTGCACTTTAATCAGAAGAGTGTGCAGGAGCCTCTGGGAAAATTGTGACAAGCTAATTCTGGTTTGCGAGATCTCTTGACCTTCTAATTGTCAGTGGAGGCCTCCATTCATACATCCAACAACTGAGGTATTTGGTCCCATATATTGTGCTAATAATTATAGCTGTCTTGGTTTGCTTGGAAAAAGCTGTATAGAGGTGTCATTGATGTGAATAGGCGAAAAGATTTTTGTTTTCCTCTGGCCAATGCAGCAGGCTGGTTGAGAAGAACTTGAGGCAATAAAAAACAGTTTTAAAAAATGCTTCCCAATGGGTGATGCGAGGCCTGGAAAACAGAAGGAACAATGCCTCGTTTTATGCTTAAGTACTTACAGGCCTCTAAGTCTTAATGTTGACTTTCATAACTTCTGAAAACTGACTGCATGATTTTTTTTTCTTGATTTTTCTTACATTCACGCTCCGCTCCACTCTGTCTCTCTGCTGCCAGCAAAAAAAATACTTGTCATGTTTGTGCCTTGATTTCTTTGCTTAGTTCTGACCTATTTTGCCTGCTTTCATACCTTAATTTACACCTATTTTATATCTTTTTTTCCCTCTTTCACTACCATTAACAACCCCTCCTCTTTTACAATGGGTCTCTACACTGACTGTCCCTTTCTGCTCCTCTATCTCTGTCAAAAGTTACTAAGTTACTAGTGGTGTACCTCAAGGATCTGTTTTGGGGCCACTGCTGTTTGTCATTTTTATAAATGACCTGGATGAGGGCGTAGAAGGATGGGTTAGTAAATTTGCGGATGACACCAAAGTCGGTGGAGTTGTGGATAGTGCAGAAGGATGTTGTAGGTTACAGAGAGACATAGATAAGCTGTAGAGCTGGGCTGAGAGGTGGCAAATGGGGTTTAATGCGGAAAAGTGTGAGGTGATTCACTTTGGAAGGAGTAACAGGAATACAGAGTACAGGGCTAATGGTAAGATTCTTGGTAGTGTGGATGAGCAGAAAGATCTCGGTGTCCACGTGCATAGATCACTGAAAGTTGCCACCCAGGTTGATAGCGTTGTTAAGAAGGCGTACGGTATGTTAGGTTTTATTGGTAGAGGGATTGAGTTTCGGAGCCATGAGGTCATGTTGCAGCTGTACAAAACTCTGGTGCGGCCGCACTTGGAGTATTGCGTACAGTTCTGGTCACCGCATTATAGGAAGGATGTGGAAGCATTGGAAAGGGTGCAGAGGAGATTTACCAGGATGTTGCCTGGTATGGAGGGAAGGTCTTATGAGGAAAGGCTGAGGGTTTTGAGGCTGTTTTCGTTAGAGAGAAGAAGGTTAAAAGGTGACTTCATAGAGACATACAAGATGATCAGAGGATTAGATAGGGTGGACAGTGGGAGCCCTTTTCCTCGGATGGTGATGGCTAGCACAAGGGGACATAGCTTTAAATTGAGGGGTGATAGATATAGGACAGATGCCAGAGGTAGGTTCTTTACTCAGAGAGTAGTAAGGGCGTGGAATGCCCTGCCTGCAAAAATAGTAGACTCACCCACTTTAAGGGCATTTAAATGGTCATTGGATAAACATATGGATGATAATGGAATAGTTTAGGTTAGATGGGCTTCAGATTGGTTTCACAGGTCGGCACAACATCGAGGGCCGAAGGGCCTGTACTGCGCTGTAATGTTCTATGTTCTATGTTCTAAAAGTATAAAGAAAGATGTTTAACACCTTAGAGTTCTGAAGAAGGGTCAGACTGGGTGTGAAACATTAGCTCAGTTTCTCTCAGTGCAGATGCTGCCAGACTTGCTTCGTTTCTCCAGCGTTCTGTGTGTATTTCTGGAAAACAGACCTTGCGTGTTAACCAAGCACTACACGGATATGACCCTGTAAATTGTACAGCAGGTGCTGGAGTAAGCCACTCAACCCATCAATCTACCCTACCGTTCAGTAAGATCATAGCTGATCTGATTATTTGCTTATCCCAATAACCTTCTACCTGTTTTTATTGTCCAAAATCTATGTACCTCTGCCTTTACCTTTAAAAATATTCAAAAAAATCTGCTTCTCAGCACCTTTCAAGGAAGAGAAATTCAAAGACAAATAGATTCTCTTCATCTCTAAATGGACAGGACCCTTAAAAGGATTCCTTTGATATAATTTATCCTCTATGTCAAGGCCATAGTTACAATTTCTGATGTCTTTGACAGGTGAGGTACATCCCTGCAAAACAGCTAGCCAGTTACCAGCATGGTGACGTGCAATTTATTCTTTATTTTCTTGTTAACTTCATTCTGAGAAAACACAAGGTCAAAGAAGAAAGCCAATAAACAGCTGGGGAAAGAGCAAGTCAATAATTATTTGACAAAGTTACCACCTTTTCATGAGTAACATTCTGATGTCTTTCTAAAATTTAAAAATAAATGACTCTATTAATATGGACCTTTTCAATTATAATTGGTATGGGGTGTAGTGTTAGTGTCACTGGACCAATAATCCAGAGGCCTAAACTAATGCCATGAGCCATGGGTTCAAATCCCATCATTGCAGCTGATGGAAATCAAATTCAATTAAGAAATTTTGGAATATAAAAAGTTTCATGCTCACCATTACTTAACCTGTCATTATTTTATAAAAAGCTATCTAGTTCACTAATTTCCTTTAGGGAAGGAAAACTGTCTTTAACCTGGTCTCACCTGCATTTGGATCCAGATCCGCAGCAGTGTTGAGATTCTTAACTGCCCCCTTAAGGGGAAATTTCGACAATCTTCGGATGGTCTACGATTGCTAGCAATGTCAACCTTGCATGAAATAATTTTCTTTTGTTTTATGAAGCAGTAAAATTTACGTTGTATGGTATGCCACTGGGATCGAATGGTGCCAGTAAGTCAAAACTATTGGTTTGTGCATTGCAGATAATGGTAGAAGTAGGAATTGAATGTAGACATGCCTTGACATATACTGCAACTTGGAGAACCTGTCAGCCTTTGACTCTTTTCACAATAATGCTGAGGGGAAAAATCCTTCAGTGGTTCTTTTGCAATCACTTCACACTGACAACATTGGTACTTTATATGGAAATAGTTGCACCTATGGAGGGACTTTGGAGATTTGATTTGGCAGAGTACTCTGATGCAGTGCCACAATACAAATTTTACTATAATAGAATGGTGGATCTTCCAATGCAAATATCATACATGAGATTGCCTGGTAAGTAGGAAAAAAAATCCATTGCGGCAGGTACACTGGTTATATCAATGGAATTCATGCACGTTTTCTGCTGCCGATGACAAATGTACTTGAGGGAACTGTCTTACTTGCCTCTCTTGAAGAGGTGATTCTGGTTAAGTTATATTTTGCTGCATCAATTGCCAGTGCAAACTTGTAACTGTACATTTTACCTTTCTTCTGAATCTTGTGGTTCTAGGTCATACACAAACATTTTTACTTGAAGAGAGCAGAGGTTATGGCCCAGTGCGAAGAGTGGATTGCAGATATTCAGCAGTATAGCAGTGACAAGAGGGTCGGCAGGACCATGTCTCATCACGCAGCTGCTTTGAAGGTAGGGTTGAGAAAACTGGTTACTTGTACATGGTTTAGCAAAACATTTCCTTCCTTATGCTCAGTGCATCATTTTGTTTTCTAGTCATTCTTGGGATGTGGGAATCTACAATATGGACTTCAGCAAGGCCTTCGACAATGTTCCACATGGTAGACTGGTTAGCAAAGTTAGATCACATGGAATCAGGGAACTAACCTATTGGAAACAAAATTGGATTGGAGATAGAGGGTGATGATGGAGGGTTGATTTTCAGACTTGTGCCTTTGTTGATCAGAACATTTGAGTATAGGAATTGGGATGTTATGTTGCGGCTGTACAGGACATTGGTTAGGCCACTTTTAGAATACTGTGTTCAGTTCTGGCCTCCTGCAATGGGAAGGGTGTTGTTAAACTTGAAAGGGTTCAGGCAAGATTTATAACAATGTTGCTGAGATTGGAGGGTTTGAGCTATAGGGAGAGGCTGAATAGGCTGGGGCTTTTTTCATAGAGCATCTGAGGCTGAGGGGTGACTTAGAGGTTTACAAAATCATGAGGGGCATGGATAAGGTAAATAACCAAGATCTTTTTCCCATGGGTAGAGGAGTCCAAAGCTAGCGGGCATAGGTAAGAGAAGAAAGATTTAGAAGGGATCCAAAGGGCTAATTTTTCACGCAGAGGGTGGTAGGTGTATGAAATGAGTTGCCAGAGAAAGTGGTAGACGCTAGTACAATTGCAACATTTAACAGACATTTGGATGGGTGCCTGAATAGGAAGGGTATAGAAGGATGTGAGCCAAATGCTGGCAAATGTGACCAGATCAGTTTAGGATATCTGGCTGGCAAGGATGAGTTAGCCCGAAGAGTCCGTTTCCCTGTTGTATAACTCTGCAATCCTATGACTGTATAACCAGGCCAGCATTATTTGTCCATCCCTAATTATCCTTGAAAAATGGCAGTCAGTTGCTGCCTTGAAATACTTCAGTCCATGTGTTAAGATTATAGCTACAGTATTGTCACGATCATCAAATCTCCTTCAGCAGCACCATCCCATTCTGTGACTTCTACCAATTAGACGGGCAAAGGCAGAAAAGAGTTTGACAAACCATGATCTGCAAGTTTCTCTCCAAGCCACATGTTATTTTGATTTGAAATAAATATTGCCTTTCCTTCATTGTGGTCATGTGAGAAAACCTGAATCTCCATTCCTAATTGCATTCTGTGTGTATCTACACTGGATGGATTTAAGGACTGAAGAAGACACATTACCACCACCCAAGGCAGTAGGGGAGAGGCAATAAATGCTGGCTTTGCTAGGGATGCCCACATCCTATGGAAGATCCAGTGATGATAAAGTTGAAATAATGAGCCATTAAGAATACATGGCAACGCAGGAAATAGAACCAGTGTAAACCATTCATCCCTCAAGCCTGCTCTGCCATTCAGCTAGATCATGCCAATTTTCTGTGTCGACACCATTTCGCTGCATTGACTGTATACGCTTTGATGTTTTCAATATCTAGAAGTCTATCAACCTCTCTCTTAAGCATAATCAGTGACTGGGCCTGCACAGCCTTCTGGGGTAGAGAATTCCAAAGATTCAGTACCCTCCATGTGAAGAAATTCCTCCTCCGCTCGGACCTAAACGTCGTCCTCGTTATTCTATGGCACTCTGTGTAGATTCTTGACTGACAGACTCATGCACGCACAACATCCTTCCTGCAACTGCCCTGTTGAGCCCTGCAACTGCCCTGTTGAGCCCTGAAACATCTTTTTTTTCTTTGAGATCTCTCATTCTTACAAACTCTATATGTTATAAATACTGTCTCTTAAATCTCTCCTCATGGTACAGGCCTGCCAACTCATGCATCAGTCTAATCTACCTTCATAGTCCCTCCTCTGGCAAGTATAACCTTCCTTAGGTAAGGAGATCAAACTGTACAGAATATTTCGGGTACTGTTTCACCAAACCTCCATGCAGTTGCCACAAGACAACTTTACTGCTGTTCTCAAATCCTCTTACAATAAAGGGTAGCATATCATTTGCCCTTCAAATGGCTTGCTGTGCCTGCATGTTAGCTTTCAGAACAAAGATGCCCAAGTCCCTTTTGCACAACAGTTCCCAATCTCTAGCCATTTAATATATACTCAGCACCTCTGTTCCTTCTACCAAAATGGAGAATCCGTACTATATAGCATTTGCTATGGTCTTGACCATTCACTCAACCTATCTAAATCCCCTTGAAGTGTCTTCGCATCCTCCTCACAATTTGCTTTCCCCCTGTTTTATATGATCAGCAAGCTTAGAAATACCCTATAGTACATTTAGTCACTGAGTCCAAATCATTGATACAAATTGTGAAAAATTGAGGCCCAAGTACAGATCCCTGCAGCATCCAGAAGCCATCTCCTGTTTATTCCTACTGTGCCATTTAGTCGATTCTCAATCCATGCTAGTATATTACCTCAATCTAATGCAACCTACATTTAACAAAAGCCTTCCAAAAATTCAAATAACACCACACTTACTGGTTCTCACATTTCATTTCTACTAGTTAATAATCAAAAACTCTCAACAAGACCTGTCAAATATGATTTCACTACAGATTAAATCTATGTTGACTCTGCCCAATCCTAGCATTACTTTCTAAGTATCAACTATCACATTCTTTATAATAGATTCCAGAGTTTTCCCTGTTACAAGTGTGCAGTTCCCAGTTTTCTCTTTCCTCCTTTCTTAAATAGAAGCATTTGCTACCTTGCAATCTGCAGGAACTCTTCCAGAATCTGTAGAATTCTGAAAGATGATCAATGTATCCATTGTCTCTATAGCCACTTCTTCCAACACACTGGGAACATTCAGGATTTACCAATTTTCAGTCCTCTAGTTTGCCACTGCTACATTTTTGTTAACACTAATTTCTTTCAATTTCTCATTCTTACTAGTCCCCTGGTTCTCTAGTACTTCTGATAGGCTTTCTGTAATTCCGTCTAAAGATGAACACCACGTTTTTAAAAAAAATTTCTTTGCTAATCTTTTCCTTTTAATATACTTTGAGAAGCTTTTGTAGTCCTCTGATTTTTTTTGATTTCCATCTGTTTACTTTAATATGCTATTTCCCTTTCCTCTTCAGTTTCTTGATCCTCTTTTATTAAATTCTAAAAGACGCCCAGTGTTCTAGCTTATTGCTTTTCTTATGGCAACTTTATAAACTGTCTCCTTCTCCCTAATGAAATAAGTGTTATTTTGTAGTATGACCACTCTCTGAATGTATTATTCATGTAGTTCTCAACCTAGCAGATGCTCCACATGACTCGAGCAGTTGTTTAGGTTCTGAAACCTGAAACTCCAGTTTCTGCAGCTGGTGACACTTCCTGCAACGTGGCTGGCTAAGCCATGCAAAACAGTCACAACATCACACATGCCACTGGATGCATTTCGATGAGACCAAGTTACCTACCTCACTTTACAGACTGTTATAAACTAGAGGCTGGAAAATGGAATGTAGAATTTCTCACCCAACTATTTGCAAATCATCTTCCCTTTTTTATTCTCGACATTACATTTTGAACTCTGCCTGTGCCCCGCAGCTGCCAGCAACTTTTTATGCCCTACTTATCTCTGTCAATCCTGCCACAATCTAGTTAGCTAATTAATTATTTCCTTAATTTTTTTTGCTTAATGCTTCTCTTCACTTTCACCTAAAGCTTTACTTCAAACCTGAGTGATGCAATAAACCTTCCAACTTAAAAATAAAACACATTCACCAACTTCTTGCTTCTGTAATTTTTTCATCCTTTAATTATAAGGTGCCATATCAAAAGTTATTACCAAATATAAGCAGGCAGGGTGGGGCATAACTTATTAATACGAATAAAGGATATAGCTAGCTAACAGAAAGAAGAGTGAGGATGAATAGGTCCTTTTTTTGAGTAGCTGTATCATGAGATGTACTGAATGGAGTTCCACAGAGATCAGTACTGGAGTCCTACTTTGCAGTCCTTCATGCTACGACAGTATTGTCAAGTCAAATTGGGAATGGTGATGAAGGGAAATTGGCCATGGTTTCTGTTAATTGATTGGTGGTGGGTGTAGGAAAAAACACATTGCACGTTTAATTCTGAGGCTGTTCACTTGATTCAGCAGGTACTGATCTTCGAAACATCTGTCATGTAATGGTTCTGATTGCTCATGCAGTATGTAGCTTCACCAATAAAAATGCAACACTAAAGAGTAATTGTACTATCTAAGCTCCGACTTTATAGTTAGAGATTTGTGAAAAAAAAATTCAGGGTGAACCAGGAGGAGAAGAAATCAGGGAAACGTAATTGGCATTGGGTAAGGACAGAATAGGAAAGCAAAACATAATAAGAGCAGTGGCAGCATGAACCTGTAGTGAGGGGGTTGGTGGTGGAGAAAAGGAGCTGAATTGTGAACTAATAGGGCAGGGGGAGAAGGAGGATTACAACTCAAGTGGCAAGGGAACTGAGGTATTGATCAATTTTTAAAAGAATTGTAGAATTTTTACAAAATTAGCAAGTTGGTTTAGTGACAGGAGACTACTAATGCATATCCATAATAGAATACAATTTCTCTGCAATTGCTATCATAGTATTCCACATTGTCCTTGTAATCCTGATTATGATCAATATCTAGCTTTACTTAAATAGCCGCCTTTTCTTTCAAACAAAGAAGTGGAATGGGCTACATTTATTACCGAGCTGTCCTTGTTTTAGAAGTACGATTTCAGAATTATATTAAATATTCAGCTTTTAAGAGAAGAGTGGTGTATAATGAATGTAAAATCCACTAAACAGACATCATATACTTTCTTTCCCTACTAAGTGCTGTCTAATTATCTTTCAGCGCCATACTGCGCAGCTACGTGAAGAGTTGCTGAAGCTTCCCTGCCCTGAAGGTCTTGAGCCAGAGTGTGACGAGGCAGTGGAAAAAACTGAAGATGCTGCAACGGGTGAAACAGAACCTGTATCAGAGGGTGAAGAAAAGCCCAGCAGCAGCAGAGACCCCTCCCCTAATGATGTCAAATTATGATCTGCAATGCGTGGACTTGAAAGACTCGAGGCTTTGGAGCACAAGCCAAACTTTGTCAATATTTGTATGTAAGAAGCTAATTATGTAATAGGTAATAAAATTGAACTATGTTATGCCCTTCAAAGTAAAACCGTTTAAATCAATATGATCTTTTATTTACCTGTAAAAGAGTGTAAACTTTTTTGTGCTTTTATTTTTCAATTGTGACACAACCACTACATGGTATGTTTGAAACAAATTGTTCATGTATACACTGATGACAAACGGATAAATCACTGATATAAGGGAAATCCATTAGAATGTTTACCGAATGTTAATTTTTCAGATTTCTCCATTAGAGGACAGTTGCAACCAGGAATATATTGTCATCCTTATAGGTACTTCGCTTATTTAAAAATACAGATCTTAGGCTGGTAGCCCCTATCCCCGTTCCCCTTCTTTATCTCTCCCTCCAAAACAATGTTTGGCCATATTCATTGCTAATAATAAATTTCTACAAACTCCTGTAACTTCAATAAAAAGATGAATGAACATTCTATACAGCTACGATTGATTACTGGTACGTTTACAGTACTGTTAATTACTGAATTCATGAACGTTTTTATGATGAGTCTTAAATACATTTTTAATAAATATAACTTGCTTTGGTTCACATAAATGCATATTGGCCTCTGGAGTTATGAAACACTGCAAGAATCAAATTTTGTTGCATTTTAGTACATAGCCTTACACTAACAACTTGAGGGCAAATAATTCATTTTTGTTGTTTTGAGGCAATGGGTGCATGTCGCTATTCTTCCATGTGTGGTAGGATGTAGGTATAAGCACATAGCTTCGTATAAAATTGGGCAGATTTTTCTGGGTGGTGATTGTGCATTTCCTGCTGGCTGGCTTCAGACTTCCCCAGAGGTCTGAGAGACTTTTGGTTTTAAAGCTGATTGACAAGTGTAAGAGAAGCTATTGATGAAGTAGATTTTGTGGAGCTGTCATTGGTAGGCACACAAAAAGAATGCTGGTTATTGTAATAAGACTTGGCCCACGAGTTTGAATGTATTGCTGCAAGTTCATTGTACTAGTACCTAACTGTTGACTACGTGACACTATTTTGCTGACTGTCAATTTTTATCTTTACATTTTTATAAATCAATCACATGGCTATAATTATTCAGTGTTTATTCTGAAGGTTGTCAGGGTACATGAGCATCAAGGTTGAGCAATCAATTTGTATTAAAGGAGCCCAGAAATGAACGATAGATAATCAACATTATTTTAATCTACAATAATGTTAAAGCTTCTTCTGAACAAAATCTTGGTTAGAGAAAGAGAAGACTAGGCAGATTCCCACCAGCTCCTGGAATCAAATCTATACTAAGTAAGCTCACTGAATAAGTCACAGAACATTATTGCCACCGAATCAGTGGATAAACGGAATTGGATTGCTAAACTACGCTGTCCGTTGAAACTCTGAGGTATTTCTCGTATGATTTGAACAGTTAATGTTTTTACAATGATTTAAAATTGCATAATATTCATAAATACTGACTTTAAAATTCATTATTCCAACAGAGATTGAGTCAGATGTATTGTGTCTTTACGTTATTGCTGATCATGTCCTGTATGTGTTCAAATATGATTTCAATTTTCCCACTCGTGTTTTCTGAAGATTATCTGTTGTATCATTAATTTGGATCTTAGAGGTGTTGTCTGTCTCCTGGAAGACAACTTACATGGTCTCCCATCACATTATGTGAAATTGTACAAAACACTAGTGCAGGCTGGTTTAAGTGCATACACTAAGAAGACACAGTCCATTATCCTCATTTGATTCCATCACAGGCAACAAATAATGTTGGTGCCTAGAAACAGGGGTAAGTCATTTGATATAAACATAGCTTATTCACGTAGTTGCTACCCTCTGAACAGATCTTACTATGAGGTGCATGCAAACTAAGAATCTGAGAATGAATATCTAGAAATTGATTCCACTTAAGAGTTCGCCCTTGCATAAGCTGAGTTCAGCATCTGCTTATTTGTGGTGAGGTTTGCCCATATTGTTGCAGTACATAACAATTAGCGCTATGTGGGGACAAAGAAGTTGTGCTCTATTTGACAAAAGTCTCTTTGCCCAAGCATTAGCCAGGGTCCAGTTTAACTTTAAGTCTACATGCTAAAAAGGACTGAGTTTGCTCGGCTCAGTTCCCTCTAATCTTTGAAGGCATTTGGGTTTAATACATTGCAAAAGGAGTTCACCTGAGTCTCCCATTTGATTGGATGTAGTGACACATTCTACAGTTGAACCAGTAGTTTCCACTATGATTCATTCAAAATACAAGTTGAATGATACGCAAGATACTGTCACACGAGGGCATTGCTACACTGGCAGTTGCCAGTCTACACTTGCACTCTTACTATTGTTGGACTGGCTTTAAATTTATGATTAGATGGTGGAGTGAGTTTTGTATGGCAAGTGTGAGGGATTTACAATTTTCCCTCCTATTGCATGATAGAGTAACAGCACAAAATAAAAGGGGGATGTACAGATAAATAACATGAAAAAGGAATTATTTGAAAAATAGCAAATGATCTTGCATCTATAATATTGAGAATTTCTTCAGTATTGAAATGTCAGAAAATTGGTATTCTACATTTTGACTACTTCTGTAGTTACCAACTCAATACTACACTTTTGTACATGATGTAGATTATCAAATGTTTTTAATAAATGCTATTGTATTGCAAAGCACAATGATGGCAGTGTGTCTGCAAATAAACAAAGTGCACAGTGGATGGATCAGTTTGTGCTGTTATCCCTGGTCAGAGCTGAGTGTCTCAGGGGAGCTTTATCTGTGACATGTAAGATTTCATACGAGAAAGCAATAAGAAATTTATGCTGCATATTCAGAATGGGATTTGAGATTTTAATGTAAATATATCCACCAGTTCTTTGCCTAAAAGCAAGTTGAAATGGACGCATCAAGTCTGCTGTGTAACTTGTGAAGGTGCATTTAATAGCAAAAGAAGTAACAGAACTTAAAATCCTTTGTTAAATTAATAAATCACAGGGGAAACAGTGGTGTAGTGGTAATATTATTGGACGAGTAATCCAGAACACCAGGCTAATGTTCTGGTCATGTGAGTTCAAATTCCACTATGGCAGGTGGTGAAATTTGAATTCAATAAATATTTGGAATAAAAAGCTGGTCTAATGGTGACAATGTAACCACTGTTGATGTAAAGACCCATCTGGTTCAATAATGTCCTTTCAGGGAAGAAAATCTGCCTTCCTTACCTGGTCTGGCCTAAATGTGATTCGAGACTCTGTGATATGATTGACTCTTAACTGCTCTCTGGTCAGTTGGGGATGGGCAGTAGATGCTGACCTAACCAGAACCTCTTCCCATTAACAATAAAGAAAAACATGTTTTTAGGGCTGGGGTTTAGTGGTAGTTTATGAAGGATATGTCAGGAAATCCTGATATGTAATTAATATTAGTGATGTTTGTCCATCAGCTGGATATTCACTAATCCATTTCTTGAAAGTTCTTTACCTTTTGTATCAGGAACTTGTTCTTATTTAAAGATTTTCTTTGGTTCAGTCAGGGTCCTTAAGCAGATGGTGTTTGCTTCTGAGTGTCTTTCTTGTTATTATCATGACGGCATATATCATGTTTACTGAGTGTTCAAAGGTGGAGTTTAACTCAACTTAATTTTCTGTTGACTTTACATTTTAGAAAAGAATTACATAGGGGAAGTATTAAGGTGATGTCACAAACCAGTTAGTATGATTTGGAAATCAGCCGATGCTTATGGCTGCAATAAAACTACCTTCAGGTTGGATAAGTTTACTTGTGAGGTAAATTTACTTGTAAGTGAAAAACTCGATTTACACAAAAAGGGAGACGCAGTTTATATTACATTTTTTTAAAAAGTACATAGAATGTACAGCACTGAAATGGGCCAAATCATCTGGTCAGTCCACACTAGAATTTGTGCTGTGCTTCAACCCTATCAGCATAAGGCTACATTCCCTTCTCCCTCAGATATTTGCATCCCCTTAAATGCATTGATATGCTTCATCTGATCTACTGCCATTGCTAATGCGTTTCAAATTCTTACCATTCTGTGGGTAAAGATTTTTCTCCTAAATTGACTATTTAACTACTTGATGATTATTTTATTATGAAGGCCTGTAGTTTTGATTCTCAAGTGGAAGTAGATGAACACTGTCAAAAATGTTCATAATTTTAAAAGATCTCTTTCAGATAGTCCCAAAGCTTTCTGTTTTATGAGAAATTAGACACCATAATGTCATTTTGTATCGGTTCTTTCATCAATCATAGAACATAGAACAGTACAGCACAGTACAGGCCCTTCGGCCCACGATGTTGTGCCAAACTTTTACCCTAAACCTAAGGTCTATCTAACCTCCATCTCTACCTTATACTATCATCCATCTCTACCTTATACTATCATCCATATGCCTATCTAATAGCCGCTTAAATGCCCCTAATGAGGCCGACTCCACTACCCTCCCCGGCAATGCATTCCACGCCCCTACCACTCTGAGTAAAGAACCTACCTCTGAAGTCTCCCCTATATCTACCTCCACTCACTTTAAAACTATGCCCCCTTGTAATAGCTACCTCCACCCTTTGAAAAAGTCTCTGGCTGTCTACTCTATCTATACCTCTGATCATTTTTGTACACCGCTATCAAGTCACCTCTCATCCTTTGTCGTTCTAAAGAGAAAAGCCCTAGCTCTCTCAACCTTTCCTCGTAAGACGTTCCCTCCATTCCAGGCAACATCCTGGTAAATCTCCTCTGCACCTTTTCCAACGCATCCACATCTTTCTTGTAATGAGGCGACCAGAACTGGACACAATGCTCCAGATGTGGCCGAACCAGGCTTTTGTATAGCTGGAGCATAACTTCACGGCTCTTGAACTCAATTCCTCTATTAATGAAAGCTAACACACCATATGCCTTCTTAACAACTCTATCCACCTGGGTGGCAGCTCTCTGGGAACTGTGAGCATGAACCCCAAGATCCCTCTGCTCCTCCACACTGCTAAGAATCTTTCCGTTAACCCTGTATTCTGCTTTCAAGTTTGTCCTTCCAAAATGAATCACCTCACACTTTTCAGGGTTAAACTCCATCTGCCACTTCTCAGCCCAGCTCTGCATCCTATCAATGTCCCTTTGTAACCTAGAACAACCCTCCGCACTGTCCACAACACGACCCATCTTCGTATCGTCCGCGAACTTGCTAATCCACCCTTCCACTCCTTCATCCAACTCATTACAAAAATCACAAATAGAAGAGGACCCAGGACAGATCCTTGTGGTACACTACTCGTAACTGAACACCATGTTGAATATTTTCTGTCCACTACCACCCTTTGTCTCCTAAGGGTCAGCCAATTCTGAATCCAATCTGCCACATTTCCCCCTATCCCATGCCTGCTTACCTTATGCATGAGCCTACCATGGGGAACCTTATCAAATGCCTTACTTAAATCCATGTATACCACAGCCACTGCTCCACCTTCATCCACGTGTTTGATCACCTCTTCAAAGAATTCAGTAAGGTTATTCAATAAGGTATTCATTAAATCCATGCTGACTATCACGAATCAAACTGTGCCTTTCCAAGCGATCATAAATCCTATCTTTCAGAGCCCTTTCCAATAATTTGCCCACCACTGATGTAAGACTAACTGGCCTGTAATTTCTGGGGTTATCCCTAGTCCCTTTTTTGAACAAGGGAATGATATTTGCCTCTCTCCAATCTTCTGGCACTATACCCGTGGACAGTGAGGACGAAAAGATCATCGCCAAAGGCCCTGCAATCTCTTCCCTCGCTTCCCATAGAATCCTTGGATAAATCCCATCAGGCCCGGGGGACTTATCGATCTTCAACTTCCTCAAAATTCCTAGCACATCTTCCTTACTAACATCGACCTCCTCTAGCTGACCAGCCTGTTTCACACTGTCCTCCTCTACAACTAGGTCCCTCTGAGTTGTGAATACAGAAGTATTCATTAAGGACCTCTCCTATCTCTTTAGGCTCCATGCACAAATTCCCTTTACAATCCTTGATCGGCCCTACCGTTTCTCTGGTCAAATGCCTTGGTAAAATCCATATACACCACATCCACTGCTCTACCTTCATCAATGTGTTTTATCACATCCTCAAAGAATTCAATACGGCTTGTGAGGCATGACCGGCCCACCTCAAAGCCATGCTGACTATTTCTAATCAAACTGTGCTTTTCCAAATAATCATAAATGCTATCTCTCACAATCCTCTCCAATAATTTGCCCACCACAGAAGTAAGACTGACTGGTCTATAATTCCCAGGATTATCCCTATTCCCTTTCTTGAACAAGTGAATAACATTTGCCACCCTCCAATCATCTGGTACTACTCCAGTGGACAGTGAGGACGCAAAGATCATTGCCAATGGCGCAGCAGTCTCTTCCCTCGCTTCCGCTAGTAACCTTGGGTATATCCTGTCTGGCCCGGGGACTTATCTATCCTCATGCTTTTCAAAATTTCTAGCACATCCTCCTTCCTAACATCAACGTGTTCGGGCAAGGTCCCTCTCACTGGTGAATACTGAAGCAAAGTATTCATTTAAGGACCTCCCCTACCTTCTCTGACTCCGCGCATAAGTTCCCTCCAGTATCCTTGATCAGCCCTACTCTCTCACTGGCCATCCTCTTGTTCCTCACATAAGTATAGAACGCCTTGGGGTTTTCCTTAATCCTACCCGTCAAGGCTTTTCATACCCACTTCTAGCTCTCCTAAGTCCATTCTTTAATTCGTTCCTGGCTACTTTGTAGCCCTCTAGAACTCTGTGTGATCCTTGCTTCCTGAACCTTAAGTAAGCTTCCTTCTTCCTCTTGACTAGATGTTCCACATGTCTTGTCATTTAAGGTTCCTTCACCTTACCATCCCTTCTTTGCCTCAGTGGGACAAACCTATCCTGTACTCGTAGCAAGTGCTCCCTAAACAACCTCCACATTTCTGTCGTGCATTTCCCTGAGAACATCTGATCCCAATTTATGCGCCGCAGTTCTTGCCTAATAGCATTGTAATTCCCCCTCCCCCATTCCGTCTGCTCCTATCCCTCTCCATGACTATAGTAAAGGTCAGGGAGTTCTGATCACTATCACCGAAACGCTCTCCCACCAAGATATCTGACACCTGGCCTGGCTCATTGCCAAGCACCAAATCCAGTATGGCCTCCCCTCTTGTCGGCCTATCTATATATTGAGTCAGAAATCCTTCCTGGACACACCTGACAAAATTTGTTCCATCCAAACTATTTGCACTTAGGAGGGTTCAGTCTATATTAGGGAAGTTGAAGTCGCCCATGACAACAACCTATTACTTCTGCACCTTTCCAAAATCTGCCTCCTAATCTGTTCCTCAGTGTCTCTATTGCTATTGGGGTGTCAACAGAAAACTCCCAATAAAGTGACTGCTCCTTTCCTGTTTCTGACTTCCACCCATACTGACTATCGCTTTCCCAACAAATGGGTCAGTAATTGATCAAATTGGACTTGACCTGGATTTTGTGTAAAGGACATACTACAAACTCTCCTCAACGACCTCCCTTTCTGCAGCTGTGATACCATCCCTGATTAGCAATGCTACTCCCCCACTTGTTTTCCCTCCCTCCCTGTAATTTCTGATTTTCCAATCATTTTTCTAGTGCTGACATTATGACTCTGATCGCTATGTATTCTTTTCATCCACTTTAAACAAATGGACACTGTTTGCTGTCCTATCAAGACAGGATTGGAAAATAAATCTGGTATTGTTTCCTTCCTTTTAAAAGCCTCCAATGTATTTCATCTGGGTTTGGGGATTTATTATTTTCATCAATTGTTAATAATTTCCTGTCACTGTGAATTTCACCTAACGTTCCTCTTCCTTAATTATCATGTCTGTATCATCCCTCCATTGTTAAAACAAGCAAAATATTAATTAACATACCAAAACTTTGTCTCTACACAAAGGCAATTCTATGGTCCATAATAGGCCCCATATTTTATAAAAGTTCTTTTGTGCTTTTTCTGCTACACCCTCTCAAATTTCTTCTCCTGTCTCTTTCAGAATACTCTGTTGCATTGCTCTTGTGTGGTCTCTCTGTTGATCGGTCTTTTACTCATTCATGTCGTATCTCTCTGTTGCACTGCTACTCTCTCATGTTTTCTCACTTAGCTACAACACTGGCATCTTCCAACAGTGTAGTAAACTGCCCAGGTATGTCCTTTACACAAAAACCAAGTCAAGTCCAATTTGGTCAATTACTGACCCATTTGTCGGGAAAGTGATGGAGAGGCTGAACAACAGAACAACAGCACTTGCCCCTGGCCACACCCCTCCCATGGCCTCACCTACTGCCTCTCCCCAGGATATCAACACTCCTCCCCATCTACATATACCTCTCCCCTCCAGGGCCCTCACCTGGAACGAAACTCTTCTGACCCCATACCCAAACCCCCAATGGCCCTACCCTCTCCTTCAGGCCCCACACTCTCCATACACCCAACAACTACAGGCCCCACCCTCTCCTTCATGTAACCCCCCCCGCCCCCCCCCTTTCCCCCCCCCCCCCCCCCCCCGGCTCCCGTCCTCCTCCTCCCCCCCCCCACTCCAGGCCCCACCCTCTTTGCCAGGCCCCACCACACTCCAAACCCTGCCCTGCCATGCCCCCACCCCCTCATTCATGCTCCCACCTCCAGGCCCCACCCCTACACGTGACCCCGCCTCCCCCTTAGGCCCCGCCCCCTCCGCGGCCTGCCCTGAGCCGCTGTCATGGCCGCGCTGTAGTTTGTCTGAGCGAGAGCACATGGAGCAGGGCTGAGGGAGACTGAGAGACCAGCTCCGGGACACCATGGTCGCCGCGTTCGAGCTGTCGCTGTTGCGGGGCTTCCGGAGCGAAGTGGAGGCCAGCCGCTGGGAGCAGGAAGCGGCCGGAGGAAGAGGTAAAACCCGGGGAAAGAGACGGAGGGGCCGGGGCCCGGACGTGGACAGGACTCCTTTACCCGCCGCCCCCATCCTGTTCCCCCCGGGCCCCCCCCCCGACGCTGTCACGTTTCTCCCCTTGCCCCCTCCCCCACGCTGTCACGTTCCTCCCCTTGCCCCCTCCTCCCACGCTGTCACGTTTCTCCCCTTGCCCCCTCCCCCACGCTGTCACGTTCCTCCCCTTGCCCCCTCGCCCACGCTGTCACGTTCCTCCCCTTGCCCCCTCGCCCACGCTGTCACGTTCCTCCCCTTGCCCCCTCGCCCACCCTGTCACGTTCCTCCCCTTGCCCCCCCCCCCCCCGCTGTCACCCCCCCCCCCCCCCCCCCCGAGCCCAAGTCACGTCCCAGCCCCACATCATGAACAGGACCCCCTTTATCTCTGGGGGTGCAGTGAGTCATGATGGTGGGCTGGGGCCCTGATGGGATTGGAGGCAACATGATGGAGATGCCGAGGGGGCATGATGGGTAGCTGATGTCACTCCAGTATTCAAAAAGGGAGTTAGACAGAAAACCAGGAAGCCTAGCATCGGAGACAACAAGGTGCAGAGCTGGCTGAACACGGCAGGCCAAGCAGCATCACAGGAGCAAAAAGGCTGACGTTTCGGGCCAACATCGGTTGTGGGAAAAATTCTCAAATCCATTATCAAGGACTTTATAGCAGAGCAATTAGAAAGCAGTGGCGGGAACAGACAGGGTCACCATGGATTTATGAAGGGGAAATCATGCTTGACAAATCTGTTGGAATTCTATGAAGATGTAACTAGTAGAGTTGACAAGAGGGAGCCAGTCAATGTGGTCTATTTGGACTTTAAGAAAGCGTTTGATGAAGTGCCGCATAAGAGATTATTTTGCAAGATTAAAGCACATGGGATTGGAGGAGATGGATAGGAAACTGGTTGGCAGAGAGGAAACAAAGAGTAGGAATTAATGGGTCCTTTTCAAATTATCATGTAATAACTAGTGGGGTGCCACAGGGATCGGTGCTGGGACCCTAGCTATTCACAGTATATGTTAATGATTTGAATGAGGGAACAAAATGTAACATCTAAAAGTTTGCAGATGATACAAAGTTGGGTGGGAGGGTAAACTGCAACAAAGATGCAGAGATCCTTCAGCATGATCTGGACAGGTTGGGTGAGTGGGCAAATCAATGGCAGGTGCAGTGTAATTTAGATAAATGTGAGGTTAATCACTTTGAAAGCAAACACAAGAAGGCAGATTACTACCTGAATGGCTGTACATTGGGAGAGGGGAGTGTGCAGTGGGACCTGGGGGTCCTTGTGCACCAGTTGCTGAAGGTAAGCATGTAGGTGCAGCAGGCGGTAAAGAAGGCAAATGGTATGTTGGCCTTCATTGCGAGAGGTTTTGAGTACAATAGCAGGATTGTGTTGTTGCAGTTGTACAGGGCCTTGGTGAGGCCACACCTAGAATATTGTGTGCAGTTCTGGTTTCCTTTTGTGAGGAAGGGTGCTGTTGCTCTTGAAAGAGAGAGAGCACAACGAAGCATACCATGTATGATTCCGGGGATGGTGGGTCTGACGTATGAGGAGAGAATGGCTAAGTTAGGATTGTTTTCGCTGGAGTTCAGACAAATGAGCGGGCATCTCATAGAGACTTACAAAATTCTAACAGGACTGGACAGGGTAGATGCAGGGAGCATGTTTCCGATGGTGGGTGTGTCCAGAACCAGGGGTCACAGTATGAGGATTCGGGGTAGATGATTTAGGACGGAGATGAGGAGACATTTCTTCACCCAAAGAATGGTGAGTCTGTGAAATTCATTACCACAGGAAGAAGTTGATGCCAAAACATTGAATGTATTCAGGAGGCAGCTAGATATAGCACATGGGGCGAATGGGATCAAAGGTTATGGGGAGAAAGCAAGATTAGGCTACTGAGTTGGATGGTCTGCCATGATCGTGATGAATAGTGGAGCAGGTTTAAAGGGCTAAACGGCCTCTTCCTGCTCCTATCTTCTATGTTTCTATGTCCCCCTGTCCCCGCAACATGTCGTTTCCCATTGCCAACATCCCCTCCCCCTCCCCCTCAGCTGCTTCTGCATCCCCATCCCCTCTTGGCTCCTAACACACTGTGGCATCCCCCAAACACAGCCACTGCGTTTCACTCCGTCCTCTCTGATATTGGAGCCCTTATTCTGCCATTGGATATATGGGGTTTTATGAGGATTGCTGGTGATTGTTCCCAAGAGATTTGAGGTGTCTGCTCTGCATTGCTTATGTTGCCAGTACACACACACAAAAGGAATGATAACGTTGCTGCTCTATAGACAATGGGCCTGATTCTGGGTTTGAGGTGTTTGACTCTGGAGGCAATAATGAGTTTCTTGTACCTCATTAAGGTACCGGAATTAATCCACATTGTCCAGTAGCTCATTGTGGATCTTGATAGTTGGGACTAGAGTTGTGTTGGTGGGAGCAGGCTGGTAGAGAACCTTTGTTTTCCAGATTTTTAACCAAAGACCCATTTACTCATACGACAGTGGTCTGAAGCTTGGCCTGTGCCCACATGAAATTGTCATATCTATACTGTAGCTCAACAGATATTGAGGTGGTCTTGGTTCTACATTGAGGCAATGTAGGTTGAGAACAGTTTCCCGCCTGTCCTATAGAGGTGCTTCACTCCACTGAAAAGCTTCGAGGATATGGGGTGGACTACCATACTGAGGAAGAGGGAGAAGAGCATTGGTACAATGGCACACTCTTCTTTGACCCCATTTTGCACTTGGATCTGCAGTGGATCCATTGGGGAGGATCTTTGGTTGCATTCTGTCATTCAGCATGTGGAAGATTTCTGTGGGCAGCCAAAAGTGGGATGCTCCATCGTCCCTCCTTGTCTCCTGGGCTTTAAGTCTATCAACAATGTAGAGGCTGCTACTATTCCTCTGCATTTTTCTTGGAATTGTCTCACCGTGAAGAACATGTCCATCGTGCCTATTGATAGATGGAGTTTGCATTGTGACTGCACGGGAAGCTCTTCAGCCATTCGAAGAAGGCGATTGAGGAGGATACTTGCAGTGACCTTTCCTATAGCACTCAGTGGGGATACTCTCTGTAGTTGCTGCAGTCACTGTTATGCCCTTCCCCTGAAGATAGACACAATTACAGCATTGCAGAAGTCCCCTGGCATGCTTCCCTCCTTCCAAATGAGGTTGTGTTTTAATGCCAAATGTGCTTCCAAATCATATTTTAATATTTTGGTGGGGATTCCATCTGCATCGGTGGCTTTGTTGGTTTCCAACCATTGCGTGGCCTTTTCAACATCATGTCTGATTGGGGTTGTACAGACGGTACTGGGCAGCATGCAGTGAGATGTGGTCAAGAGTACCCATGTTGATAACTGAGTCTCAGATAAGGACATCTTTGAGTGCTGTTTTCAGTGAGCACCCGCAGCCACTCAGTCCTTGTTGAACACAACTCCATTCATACCATGCTTGGGCCAAAGAAGGTCTTGACTGTGAATGGGTACATCTTCTGCAAAGTTAAACCAGAAGAAGGACATTTATTCCATGGGGTTGGCTCATTTTGACAATTTATTTCTATTAGATGGTCTGCAGAACCTGCAACAGAGTGCTGCCATAGAATGTATAGAGAAAGGTACAGTGCATAAAAGTAAAGTAACTGTTGTTATCCCAGCCCAATTAAAAATCTTTTGTTAAATTAAATCAGAACAGAGTGGACTGTTATTTTTAAAAAAATCAGATTTGTACATCAGCCTTGTTGTGAAATACATTTCCTGTATTGCATGCTATTGGCAATGGAATACATACATTGGCATCTGTAGGTCGAAGACCTCAATCTCACTGTTCCTGTGGCACTTTGTATTTATGTATGTACAAAGTCTGATGAGAAAGTGAAGCTATCCTCATAGAATCTGCAGACAAAGGTAGACATTTCGTCAGATAATAGTACAGGCCAGATATCATTGAAATACTGTGGGTAGCACATGAAGTTCTTACGGCAGGAGATGTAGGAACACCACAAAAAAGTGCCAGCTATATTCCAGATTTATGAACCTGTTGAAACCAGTATGTACCCAATTATGTGGCTCACTTGGATGATGTAGCAATGCACGACACTCCCGGGGAAGACCATGTGACCATATGAAGCCTTCCATAGATCGTTGCAGTTGGTTGATTTTAGTAACATTTTGCTAAGACTAAATTATGTAAAGTGAAGGTAACTTAGCTTGGACACTGCAGGGCAAGGTTAAGCATTGCCAAGGACAGCAAAAGGTGTAAAGGCTTTGATAGAATTCCCTATTGCATACTGAGAAATCATCAGATTTTTGGAGATGCATGGTTTCTGTGGAAATTTGTGTCAAACTTTAGGACAATGGCTGTAGATCTAACAAATTTGTTACCAAACACAGACAGAGTAACATGGCCAAAAGAGTGCCAAACAGCTTCTGAGATGCCGAGGATGATCCTAACAAATGAACAGGCGGCTGACTTCACTAAATCTGTAAAATGGCAGTTGGTGCTAATGACTGACGGTTGGGTGCAATCTTCTGCAAGATGAATTGGGTTAAGAGAAGCTGGTAGGGTACTTTTCTAAGAACTTGAATCAGCCTCAAAATAAATATTCAGAAGAAAGAAACAACTCTGGAAACTCTGGTTGTTAAACATTTTGACGTTTATGGCTGTCACAACCACAAAGAAACACAATATACAATGACTGTACCCCTTGGTTTTCGTGGAAAAATTTAAAGCTTAAAATAGTAGACTACTTTGAAGGAGTTTACTAATTCAACCTTATGCTGTATGATTTATTCATACTACTGTAAAAGATAATATTGCATTATGAAGAATGTAATGTGCTGGAATATTTTGGAGAGTAAGAAAGTGACCAGAAGTTGCATGAATCTTGTGTAATGAGTGAACAAAGATGAATGTATGCAAGCCTAGTTATTATTTTTTAATATATCTTCATGTTTGCATCAT